CATGTATTTAAAAGCTGAAATGATTTGTCATTAGGCTCCATAAAGCTCTTTTCATTTTGCATTAAAAATTGAGATGCACATTTATTTGTAATAAGTTGATTTTTTACAAAAAATGAAATTTATTATTCCACATTAATAAACTCTAGCCCTCATTAAACACAGGGGAGCAAAGAAGATTTTAAGTCCAAAATGGGGTTCTGACAAGGGTTCATGTTAAACAATTCAACTATTGCGGAAGCTGCATCTGAAGTCTTAGAAACATGTAATTACAGAATTAATAAAAACCTTAATGGTCACTAGTATCACTCTTCTCCACTTATAATTCCACCTATACTTCAAAAACCAAATCTTTGAAATCTTTATGCCCCCTCCGGATGAGTAGATATCCAGTTTCTACTTAAACCCTTCATCATCCTCCTGAAAGAAGGTAGTTTTATTGCTTTTGTTATTTTTCCTCTTTCTTAGATGGCTCACAGGAGCAGTTGTCAGGAAGGTTACCCCAGTGTAAAAAGGCACACAAAAATGTAAACTCTTAACATCTCTGGTCAAAGTCACTTCCTTATTATGAATTTCTGTGATGGACTGAGGCAGAATGATGTACAGTGGGTGTTATTCTGAGTTTTCCGCAAGGTTTTTAATGTCTTCCTGTCTCAATTCCTTCACCTGTAAATTTAGGATAATAGTAGGGTACTTCATAGGACATACGGATTGATTGGGACAATACATGTAAAATTATTAGAATCGCATATAGTAAGGACTCACTAAATGTTAAGCTTTATCGTTTAATTGATGATGATGATGGTGATGCAGTATTTGATGTTAATTATGACAGTGGGTTAAATATCAAGGAAGTTAACTAGAATTTAATATGCTGAGACTTCTTTAAGAGATGTTGGTCTTTGAAAATTTTAGGAAACTAGGATTACACATGATAGAAAAGAACTGAAAAATACCATTTAAAAACAAATTTGTGAAATTTAGGACAACTCCATTATATGGCTGCATATGATAGGTACTTACTTATTCAGATATTTGATAGAAAAATGATTATCAGTAGAGTGAGTAAAATTCATATTTTCTGAGTGGAGAAAATTCAGTAGGTAAATTATTTTATCTTTGTACAATCCAGGTAATTGGAGATTATATAAAATTTAAATCCTCTGTATAAGAACTATTGTGAAGACTCTAAGCCAAATTTTCAGTAAATTTGAGTTAAAAAAATTAATATTACAAACTGAAGTTACTTAACTTGTG